GTTACTGAGATAGATAGTGGTTCTTTTTTTCCCAATTAGTTGTAAAAATCTCACCCGATGGTAAACAGCGATGCCAGAAAGCTGGTATTCTTGCTTCTTTTAGCCGGCTGCCGACGACTTGCAAGCGAGCCCAAGCTGCTTGTTTCTGCCCATTGGCTGATTAGGGAGTTTCCTGGATCAAACGGGGATGGCCGCCCCCGCCCCCATGATCAACAGGCTTCCCCCCCAGTTCACCACCCCTCCGGGGTGGTTCCGACACCCTGGGGTGTCCCAAACAGGTCAGAATTCAGCCCAGGGGACAGAACTCTGTCCTCCTGCTGCTGTCTCGTCTCGACGTCAAGCCGGAAGTCCCCAAAGTTTTATTTTTAAGTTACTCGTTTATTTAGTTGTTTTTACTTGGTGCCTTTTGTGTACTGAAAACTCTGTTTCCCGCGCCATGGAGAGAAGGAAAAACATAGTCCTTTATTTTTGCCTTCAATAATTTTCCATTTTCTAGGAGGTCTTCTATTTCAGTAGAAGTTTTTTTCCGTTTGATTTTTAGGCTCAGCCATTTTCTTTTTCCTGCACTAAACATTTTACTTGAGGAAACCTGATCTACCTAATTTTGTCTAGGAACTTTTTTATCTCCTTCATGTACATTCCTTTCTACTGTTTCTCCATGGTTTCCTTTTTGCATCTGAACAATCTTGGGCCAAATTTGCTGAATTTCAGGAACCTGTTCTTTCAAATTGGTAGCTATTAAGATTGCTACTAAGATCATGAAGCTGAGGTTTCCATTCTTTGGCCATCTAATGAGAAGACCCCCTGGAAAAAACTCTGATGTTGGGACAGTGTGAAGGCAAGAGGAGAAGGGGACGACAGAGGACAAGGGGTTTGGACAGTCACCGAAGCGACCAACATGAATTTGACCCAACTTCGGGAAGCAGTGGAAGACAGGAGGGCCTGGCGTGCTCTGGTCCATGGGGTCATGAGGAGTCGGACTCGACTTAACGGCTAAACAACAAAAGATTGCTAAATGTTTGGAAACAATTCGTGTTTTTCACTGGAGGGCCAGTGGGAAAAAGGAAGAAATTAAGTTTTATAACTAAATACCTAATTTCTGCTAATTTTCCTTGTTCTGTGTCATAAATAGCTTCATCTGATGCTGTCGTTCATCTCTCGTTCAGTCGCTGCATTTGATCTCATTTACTCTGATATTATATTTGTACCTTGAGTCTTCATTGCATAGAATTACTTTTCTGGTCTGCCGCAGTTTAAATAAAAAAAAAACCCAAGCAGGCAAAGCCCTTTCTCTTCAGGCAAACTTCCCCTCAGTGACTGGCTGCCTAAGTGGGTGGTTTAAATGAATTGTTGTGCCTTACTGCTGTGAATGTGTTTTGGCGTTGCCGATGCTTTTTGGTATATTATCTGCTTTATCCTTTTGGTATTTGTATACTCACCACTTAGATACTGTCTTTTAATGATGTAAGCCACTTTGGGTCCTTTTTAAAGAGAAAGGTGAGGCACAAAGATTTTAAACAAATAAATAAATGAACAAAAACTTTTCACCTTTTATTGTGTCTGTGAATAGCCTTAGGTAGATTCTAAGTACAAATTGGGAAGAATAGACAACCCCATTTTTGCAAGGCCATCTCTTTATTTCGGTGCAGGTAGGGTGGTTCTGTTTTGGTTCTTTTCCAGCACTTGGAATTACTGGAAATGAACCAAAAGTGAGCCTTTCCTTGTCAATTTGACAGTGTTGGAGTGAGTTGAGAAGAGAGGCACTTCAGGATTTAGGCAAATTAGACACTTCCTTATATTTGTGGAGAGCCCTAGGAAGTGAATAGCATGTGTGTTTTAGGGTTGAGTTAGATGGGCAGCATTGCTTTAAAAAAAATGAGACAGAGAGAGAAATGGAAGGCTGTGAGCACAGATCCCTGGAACTGGTAGCCGGTGGAGGGCTCAGTGGACTGAAGGGGATATGGATGCTGCCACCCGTTTGTCTGCACTTGTGCTTAGCCCTGGCCTACTCTGCAAACCTCAGCACCTCCCTTCTGCTACTCTTGTGCCCCTGTAAACCTTGTATGTGGTGGTGGGCAGAGATGACTGGCCGCCCTGCTGGGCACTGGTGTGGCACTGCTCAAACCCAGAAGTCCTGTCCCACAGGGTCTCCATGCCAGTCCCGGGCTTCTCTTCTGCCTCCAGCCCACCCACCAGGTCATGGTGCCGTCACCACATGACAGGTCTCAAATCAACCTTTAGGAATTGTTCATTGCAATTCAGTAGATAAGTTATAACAGGATCAGAATTTAGTGAGCAACATGTGCCAAAGTAATACAGCTGGGTTAATTGAGACAGCTGTGGGACAACCAAGTTAATTGGAGCAACCAAGAATAAAGCTAGCCAAGCTAGCAGACACAAACTGTTGGGTAGTTGGGTAGTTGGTGGTTGTGTAGTTGAGAGCTGTTTATTTGGTTGATAAGTCTCATTGATTGTGAAAGAAATTTATGCTGCATCGCTGGATGAAGACTTGCTACATTGCAAGAGGAAGGTCCTGGAGGAAGACTATCTCCGTGGTGAGAGGAGAAGACTTTGTGGATGCTGGACTATTTATATTGGTAACAATCTTTGGATACTGAACCTGTAATTTACTATTGCAAACTGAAGAACTACTGTGAAAGACCAGGACTGTGGAAAGACCAAGAGAAGTTGTATTTGTACCTGTATATATGAACTTTAATGTAAATAATTCTACCCACACTACAACAGTGTCTGGTTGGTTTCATCTCTGAGCAGTTCATTTCACCATAGCACCCCCTGGCGTAGTCTGGTAACGCCGCACCTCTGTCACCACATGCTCCTACATGATTTTTCCATTTATTCTTGAATGATCAGCGGTAGCAATCTGTTTTTGTTTAACATTACCTGACCCAGATTTTCTAGCTTTTCTGAATTTTACACCTTTTCTGAATTCTTGGACCGTATTCCTTCATTTTAAGACTGTTTAATGGGACACTGTTTAAATTAACAAGTTTTATTTTTATGTCATTTTTACACAAACACAGACACACAATTCATATTCCCCATACACAACACTTTTTTCTACCTTGCAGAGGGGCAGCTGATCTTGTCCATTTCTCGTAAGAGCTTCTGCTGCCATCTTAGATGCACTTACCTGGGAGTAAGCCCTATTGAGCGCCAAGGGTCTCACATCTGAGTAGACCCCGAGAGGATGGCACTGCTGGATGGCTTTCCCCAAGCACACACCTCCAGGGTTTAAGCTCTCCTGGTGGACTTGCCTCAACGCCGCATCCTGGAGCCTCTATTTGCCAGGAACAGCTTGTTCAGGGACATCAGCTTCCTAGCAGTGTTGATAATCAAGCTTAGAAAACACACACCCGTTGGGCAGGCTTTCCATGCACACAAACAAAATCCCTCTTAAAAAGCCAGGAGCCAAACCGAAAGAGAGTATTTCCTAAGGGGAAGAGCAGCCAGGGTCAGAATAATCATAATTTGGATGATTTCCTTTGGCCTCCTGGGAGGGAAACCCAGGAAGGAGCTTGATGCTTGGCTCGGCAAGGGTTAAAATCGGCCGTCGGAGAGATTCCTAGAGGGGCAAAGAGTGGGAAAAAGGAGAAGCTCTTTCCCACTGTGCTCCCTCTTCCTTCCGGCTGCAGAGGAGCCAATCCGGGCTTAGTCCTCCCAGTCCTTGTTCTGGTTGGTCAATGCAGCCTGTCACGTGTCTGTCTCCTGCCCTACCTGTTGCTTTTGGACTTCCGTCTTTCCTTTCGAACTCTTTAGGCGGGAATCTCCGCTTCTCATCCTCGCCTTCTTCCTTCTAATCCTTTCCAGACCTTGGAAATTTCTTTTTCGCTTTAAGACTTGGCTTCTCTCCCCCCCCCAAAGGAGACAGACTGGGTTAGTTTTCCCTCTGTTGAGTTTTCTGGAGATTTATTTGCACTTTTGTGCCCCTCCCTCCCGTACGATTCTGCTGCACAGGGTGGTGTTGTGGTTAGAGTGATGGAACGGGACTCTGGTCATTGCCTATAGGCGAGGGGAGATGATGGCAGGGCGTCGAGAGGTGGGATTTCTTCCTGTATTATTTCCACACCAGGAATTTAAAAGCTGACTTGACCTGCAATTTGCCCTCAGTCCCAGAATGGGTAGTTATGGTCCAGCTTTCTCCAGCTTTTGTTATCTGTTTAAAATGCTATCCCCTTTCAGCGCGCAGGCTTTATCGCTTTTTAAAAAAATGTTTTGCTTTTATTTCCACCAGGACTGACTTTTGCCTAATTTTGGCTTTCTTTTCATCCTGTACCCTAGGATCAATTCTGGATCGGTCTTCTGCCACCTTCTTCTGAATCGTCAGGAATCTGCTCCTCAAAATAGGCTGCTGTATGTACTTCTTCCTCAGTCTTTTGGCACGAGTGTGACGTAGTTAGAAACAAAATGAGTTTTAAGTGTAGAACTGCTGGGAGATGAGCAAAAACAGTGACCGACTGAGGGTGACCTGTAACTCAGTTTGCTTACTATGAGTCTTTTCTGATTGAACCAACTTTATTTGCTGGGCCGCCGGAAGCCCGGAAATGGCTGCCGGCAGCCGTTTTCGCGCCCTGCCCTCGCTTAGCGAAGGCGCGAAAATGGCTGCAGGCACCTGGAATCCTCGCTGAACGGGTAAGTAACAAAGGTATTGGAACGCATTAAACGAAGTTTAATGCGTTCCAATACAATTCCCCTACCCGTTCAGCGATGATTTCGCATAGCGAGGGTTAATCTGGAACGGATTAACCTTGCTATGCGGGGCACCACTGTATTTCTTCCTCAGCCTTTCGGCGTGAGGGCAACGTAGTTAGAAGCAAAGTGAGTATTAAGCATAGAAGTGCTGGGAGATGAGCAAAAATAGTGACCGACTGTGGGTGACCTATAACTCAGTTTGCTTACTATGAGTCTTTTCTGATTGAACCAACTTTATTTGCTGCTTTAATCCTAGCAATTTAACTGTGATGTGTTTATTGTAGTGTCTAGAGTGTGGATATACCACTATTTGGACTACATGTCCCAGAGTCCACTAGCTGGCCAGGCTGCCTGGAGGAATTTGGGACATTTATTGCAAAAAAGGTACCAAAGACCGCTTTTCTATTATTCCAGAAGTCAGTAGATTTTCTTCCAGTTTCAGAAGAGCCGATAAATAGACCTGATTCCCTGTTTATGAGTTGCGATATAAATAACTTTTCCAACATTATGGTATTTGTGGATCAGCTCAGGTTGTCTCTGTTTCAGCTTTCTTGCCCATGGCAGGAAATAGGGAAAAAACATTCATATTGAAAGATGTTAAAGGGAGAATTTCTTTCTCTCCTCAAACACTTAGGAATATTTCTAGCAAGCAGTTTGAATTAACCGAGACTGTTGTGGCAAATCAGGGATTATCAGCTTCATTGTGGCAACCCCTGTCCACTCCCCCCCCCACACATACTTTATCTGATCTTTCTGAGACATTCTAATAATCGACAAACGGCCGGCCCTTTTGCTCTTTCCCAGATCTTGAAGTATTTCTTTTTCCTAGAGGACTGCTCCAGTGGCCAAGCTGGCCACCAGATGTCAGGACTACTTGTAATGAACTGAACCCAGCTCCTTTCACACTTCCAAAAATCTCTAATTTTACTGTTGAGCTGCTCCAGAAAGAAAGAGAGAAGCATCCAAGGAGAAAAACGCTTTGATGTACCTAGTCATTGGCAACACAGTGGCCGACAGAAAGATGCTCTTGCTTCTGTGCTCACAAGTTGTTACACTTCAGAGCATGCTATGCTACTGTAGAAGTACTGTGACTCTCTTTAGCTTGCTCCCACTCTTCACTGTCAGACTCATTTATTTAACACCCCGGGGGTGGGGGGTTTGCAGGTGAAACAAACATACAGACAACGTAATCCCAAATCAGTTGCTGATACTTGAGCTAAAGCTTCCGCCACATTTGCAAAGACCAGTTGCAATGAGAACATTGGCCCTGCCTGGATCTCTTCCATGGTGTTGATCTAAAGTTACCTATATGTGTACATGTGTAAGTGTTCCGATTGTGTGGAGTTAGAATCGTGGAATAGTTGAGCTGAAAGAGACCCTGAAGGTCATCAAGTCCAAATGATCTGCCAACGTCTGGAATCCAGAACTAAAGCCCAACTGATGGGTGGTCCTCCAACTTCTGTCAGAACATCTCTGGTGAGGGACTCTGATCCACCTCCATCATTCCTCACGGGGCTTGGCTTCCACACCATTGACCATACTGGTTCCCCTGCCAGGGACATTTCCGAAGTTCTCCGCCTGTTTTGAAATCTCTGACATCCAGAAGTGGACAGTGGGCTCCAGGCAGGATCTGACTGAAGCAGACATTGAATGATAGGATACCAATGAAGGTCTTGTTCCATCCCATGACTGACTCCTGTTTAGCTTATATGGATTCCTAAGCTCCCCCGCCAACCCTTTTCACACATATTGCTGTGAGGCCAGCTGTCATCCGCCTTATAATTACACATGTTTCTTTTCTGCCTAAATGCAGAACTCTGCGTTTTTCTATGCTAAAACTTACTTTTTTATGTTTTCCGGGAAATCTTGCACCTTTTATAGCCGTTCTGAACCCCGAGTTCTCTCTTCTTCATGCTTTGCTATCCTTTGCAGTTTGACATCATCCGTGACTTTGATGTTGGTGTTCCTCAAAGAGTGGGGGGCTCACTGGGTGGGGTAAAAACAAAATTAGGAAAAAAAACTAGCGAGTCGAGAATCCTTAAGGATTTAAAAATGTTAAAGATTTTTAATGGTTCAGATTAGCATGCTGTAACATAAACTTTCTTCTCGGCACACTGTACGCCAGAGAGTTACCTCCATACTTATCCTGAGGTGTGGCCATTCGCTAGTTTAAATTGTTAGTCCCTGCAGAATATTGGATGTTCAAGGGGTGGATGTTACATCTTTTACTGTCATTCTGATCAGACATCTGTAGAAAGCTGTTTGGGTTACAAGCCATCAAAGATATGCTTTCTTCCTTAGTCTGAACATCTGTTATCTGCTGCTTATTTCAGATTTGTTTCCTTTTTTTTATCAGGAAACATGTCAGAAAGCAGAAAGAAAAGAAGAGGCCATCAGAAGGCACAGCGAAAGGGTGAATGTTCAGATGCCAAAGAGGTTTTTGAGAATCAAGATGGAAACACGAAACCTGGAGGAGAACAAGTCGAGGAGAAGACGGAGAAACCCTTTGCTTGTCGAGAGGAAACCCAAGTCCCTCAGAAAACATCCAGAGGCAAAGTAAGCCATGAGTGCTCTGAGTGTGGGAAAACCTTTGCCTGTAAATCAGACCTAGATCGCCATGAGAAAATTCACACGGGGGAGAAAACGTTTACATGTCTGGAGTGTGGAAAAACCTTCAGCAGGAGCACAAGCCTTGCTATTCACCAAAGAGTTCACACTGGGGAGAAGCCATATAAATGTTTTGAATGTGGAAAGACTTTCAGCCAGACCTCAGCCCTGATATCCCATCAGAGAATTCACACAGGCGAGAAGCCCTTTGAATGCCTGGAGTGTGGGAAAACGTTTAGATTGAGAGGAATTCTTACTGCCCATGAGAGAATCCACACGGGGGAGAAGCCATTCCAATGTGTGGAGTGTGGAAAGGCCTTCCACCAGAGGGGAGACCTTGTTGCACATCACACAGTCCACACCACAGAGAAACCATTTGATTGCAAAGAATGTGGGAAAAACTTTAGATTGAAAAGATTCCTTGTTATCCATCAACACGTACATACAGGAGAGAAGCAATTTGAATGTCTGGAGTGTGGAAAGGCTTTCCGGAGGAAAGGTGAGCTTTCTTCACATCATAGGATCCACACAGGGGAGAAGCCATTTGAATGCCAGGAATGTGGGAACACCTTCAGAAAAAAAGATGCCCTTGTTTTCCATGAAAGAATTCACACGGGGGAGAAACCCTACGAATGTCTGGAGTGTGGAAAGAGATTCAAAAGACAACATCACCTTACCAGCCATGAAAAAACTCACACAGCGGAGAAACCATATAAATGCCTAGAATGTGGGAAGACTTTCAGTCGCAATGATATCTTGACCAGCCACCAAAGGATTCACACAGGAGAAAAGCCGTATAAATGTCTGGAGTGTGGGAAGAGCTTCATTTGGAGTGGAGATCTTATTAAACATAAACGCACCCACACGGGGGAGAAGCCCTTTACGTGTCTGGAGTGCGGAATGAGCTTCTCCCAAAAGTCAGCACTTACTGTGCATCAAACCATTCACAAAGAAGAGAAACCATTTAAATGTCCGGAGTGTGGGAAGGCCTTCAAACAGAAGAATCAAGTCAAGATACACCATGCAACTCATATTGCGGAGAAATTTTATAAATGCTCTGAATGCGGAGAACATTTAAAGTCAGCCCAGACCCTTAGACAACACCAAAGAGTCCATACAG